AAAGGGAGGAGAGAAGGAAACAATAAAAGGGAAGAAAGGAGGGAGGGAGGAAGAAAGGAGGGAGGGGGTCTGTGCAATGTTCTTTACCGAAATTTGTTTTAAATAATATAATTTAGTCAGGCCAAAATTGCATTACTTTACTACAAAGGTTACTGCAATACTTCAAGTGATCCTTAAAGAAGTTATAAAAATCAAAACAGAGCATAGAATAAGTTTCTGATGGTAAAAATAGGTAACATTTCAAAGTTCATTTCATAAAATAAGTCATCAGATCAATACATCATTGTGTCATTTTCAACAATAGTATCTAAACTTTAGCTCTAACAGTGAAATGAACAATAAGAGGATTCCAACATACATATCCATGTGGGATTATGAATAATTTTTTTTGTTTTAATGTGCACATTAGTTAAAATTTCTCAAAGAAGCCTGTGGCATATTTCTAAGAACAATGGGCAATATAAAAAATATGTATAAGTTCTCTGAGTTGTTTTGAGGTATTGATAGTCTTATTTGTGGAATAGAATTGAGAAATCAAAAATTTTAAAAAAAAGTTTTACATAGATGCATCTAAGCTTCCCAATGATAAGACAGTTGAGGTGGAATACTCTGGAATGGAATCACTGAAATAGGCTCTATGAATGGGAGGTTTGGGTCAGGAGATAAATCTAAAATAATCCTACATTTGAACTATTGGTCTAGTCCCATGGATTAAAGCCTGCTTGAAAAAATAAGTATTAAATAGTATTTCATTTATTCATTAACTCTGCTCAAAACTCTTCAATACTACCCATCTCACTCAGACTGAAAGGCAAAATCTTTTCAATGATCCAGCCCCCCATGACTTCTCTGACCTTCTCACTATGCCCAGCCTTAGACCTGTATTAGCCTGTTCTCCATGTGGAGAGTACTTACTCTTCCACCTGATATCTGTGTAAATCACTCCCACATCACCTTCAAGTGTTTGTTCAAGTGTGACCTTCTCCATGAGGTCAACCTTTATCACTCTGTTTAAAATAGCAGCCAATCTCCCTCTGCTCCTAGCACTCCTGACTCCTCGTATCCTGCTGTATTTGATTGTTGAGGAATCTCACCGCCCACTACATTCTATACAATATAGACATTCATTATATTACTGATTCACCGTGGATTCATCACATTTTCTGTCTCCTCAACTAGAATATAAACTCCACAAGAGCAGGGATTTTATTTTATTTTTTGTCTGTTTTACTCCTTGAACACATTCATCCATTAACTACATTTCAATACACATAGGCCCAACCCCACCAGTTTCCTGAACAAATTCGGACCTTTGAACTGAGTCTTACCAATTGGTTCAGCCCAGAATTCGCTTTCTTTCTGTCTTCCTGGTATACACTAAGCCTGGCATGAGTCTTGAGAACCATGTGCAGTCGAGTTCTGTTCTTTTCTAACCTCTACCTTGTTTTCTCATTCACTACAGCTGGGCTTCTGCCTAGCTACCCTGTTCAAAGTTGTGACTGTACACAAATCCTAAACCTCAATGTTCCATTTCACAAGCTAAACAGTTTGTGTGGGCACTGACACCACTTTCTTTCTGATCTTTTTCTCAGTCTCCAGCTGCTAAATAAGGACCTATTGCAACCGGATGGATGACCTGGAGTCACAATTCATTTTTATCATTATTATTACCCTCCTTGGAAACTCTTCCAGCCATGCTGCACCCATGTGGTACAATCCTACTGGGGAGTTATGTTGACTGGAAACAACCGTGCATTTGATACATCCTTTGGACTCTAAAATTCAGACAGCTATCCACCCCACTGATCATGCTATGGACAGGCTAGGTTGAAGTTAATTTTCCCTATTCTGGGCGCCACTAGGTCCCATTTCTCCCCTTCCATTGTGGTCCAGAATCATGACCCTGTAATTGTAAAGCAGATTATGAAAGGAGATGTGAGATGTCACACAAAGTTCAAGTGAATTTTTTCTTATAGTTCACTGCCAAATCTATTCAAATAAAAGAAAGAACAATGATTCAGTCTTGGAGGTCCAAGTAGAAATGTCTAGCACATTAGTCACTGCCAATGAATAAACAGTATTTATTAAATATATGAATAAAAAAGTGACAATTATCTGCTTTATATAAATGGAAACTGAGAAAGTACTTCAAAGTAAAATCTAGCAAAAAGTAAACTTTTTTGAGTCACACCTTTTGCAAATAGTTGAAAGGTGTAAGAATTACAAATCCTCCTACTTCAGAAATTCTTCCCATTGAACTAAATCCCTCCTATAAAATACAGACTCATGCCTTCTCACAGCAGGTATACCTAGGAATAACCCTTGGGATACCTAATGGAGTTTTTAAATAATGATATCTAAAGGAGGTAAACACTGTAGTTATTAGTGTAGGTGACAATTATCCCAGATTTTAGGAGCTATGGTAACCTAAGTGAATTACAGAAGTATTGGCAGAGCATGTACATAATCCCTTGTGATTCTTGAGTTCATTACTTTGCATTAAATCCTTGGATAGAAGAGTTGTAGAAAAAACATAGATCAACAGTTTGTATACACTGATATGTGAGAATAAAAATTATAAAATTTGTCATTTAAAAAATACATACACCTACAATGTATTAGTCAATGTTGAATATTCTTATTCTCAACCATACATTTATCTGTTATGAATAATTTTTACTAAACTATTAGGCCAGTATGTAGTAAACAAGCCAACGAGTTCCATATGAAGCAAAAGAAGATACCCCCAAAATATTACTTTCAGGTTTATAGCCACAATAGATCCCCTGAAATGTTCTCAGGTAATTTATAAAGTGTTCTTACATTTTATAGCACAGGATGTTTTAGAACCAGAATTGATGGTGAAGTGGAAATTCCATACTACATTTTCAAGCATGTGTGCCAAAAATATGTGAAGATTGTCTCCAACATGTTTTTATTTTAAATCCCAAAAGGCATCTAAAAACACATTTATATACATTTTATATTTTCTTAACATTTTTAGGAATTCAGAAGTTTAAGTACAAGTTAGCACTCCAAAAACAAGAGAATGCAATCCTAGAATATTAGCAGATGTCAACCATTTATCTTGAACCAATCCTAAATATCCTAAATCTATAAAATATGAATAGATTCTAGAATGTAAAGTACAGCAGTCCATAGTACACTCAATGTTATAGTAATTTTGCATAGAATTCCTTATTGTATATAGTATCCAAGTTTTCTCTCAACAGAATGGCAGTATAAACACTCCCTTCTGTATTTGCTTCAACCTGTACCCAGACCATAGAAATGAGAGTTAACTTTGTCTGATGATGGGGGAGGGGGGAAGAGAGAGAGAGAGAGGAGATGGGAGGGAGGGTAGATGGAGG